AGGCATGTGCCTGGGTTACAGGCCGGGTCCCCAGTGGTGGGTGTACAAGAGGCAACCACACTTTGATGTTTATCTCCCTCTCTTCCTCACTTCCCCTCTCTAAAAATGGATAAATGGAATCTTTAAAAAACACAAAAAATTAATTTTAAAAATGATTTTCACATTTATTGTTTTTGTTACATAATTCATAATATTTGTAGTAGTTCTTAATCTGTTCTGTTCATTGCTCCTTTTTCATGCTGTTTTTTTGTATTTTTTCAAGATATTATTTATTTTTAGAGAGAGGGGAAGGGTAGGAGAAGGAGAAAAACATCAGTGTGTGGTTTCCTCTCACACCCACCCCCTGCCCCGCTTGGGGACCTGGCCCACAACCCTGGCATGTGCCCTGACTGGGAAGTGAACCAGTGATCCTTTGGTTTGCAGCCCCACACTCAATCCACTGAACTACACCAGCCAGGAGTCATGCTGTCTTTTTTTTTTTTTTTGTATTTTTTTCCTAAGGATTTTTTACCAGAGTTTGTCTCGTTAAAATTTTTCAAAAGAATTACAATTTTAAAGTCATCTGTTTTTTATCCTGACTTTTTTTTTTTTTTTTTTTTTTTGGCTTTTCTCCTTTCTTTAGATTTATTTCATTTCATCTAGATTAAAATGCTTAGGTCAGTTTGTTTTTAGTCTTTTCAAAGTGTTTTTAAAACTTGTTTTGTGTTAAGTACTGACCTAGCTGTTACATTGCAAATGTATCAGTGGTTTTTGTCACTATATTTATTCTGAAATTTTCTTTATTATTGCCTCCTTTTTTCACATAGTAAAAAAATCTGACTCCAACTCTTCCCTAATGTTTTTTACTTTTTAATCAATTCCCAGTATATGACCAAACTCCAATTATCATATCCTCCTTTGAATCGATTCCTTCCTCGCCATGCCCAGGTTGTAACACCTTTGCAAGGCACCTTGCTGTATGGAAACCCTGAATCAGTTGGGCCTTGTCTCTCTGCCAGAATGTCATTCTCATTCCACTTAGGCTCCCACTCTGCATTGGACTGCCCTCCTACTGGAACACTTGCCTGGCGTTGCCTAATGGGCTCTGACATCCTGTACTGGGCTGCTGCCATACCCACATACATTTCCCTATCTGCCACCCCACATGGACACCCTTCATATCTGGTTAAGGCCCCAGCACTCTGTTGTGGGCCTCTGCAGCACCCCCTCTGCCACACATAGCTTCTCAACCTTCCTTGACCACACCTAATGGCTTTGGACAGTATTTCTTCAGGAAAGAGAAGGAGAGTGGGAACTGCAAGAGAAAGTTGTTTTCTCATTTTAATTTATTTTTTAATTGTTTCTTTTTATTTTATTTATTTATTTATTTATTTTAGAGGGGGGGGCATTGATTTGTTGTTCCTCTCATTTATGCATTCATTTATTGCTTCCTGTATATGTCTTTACCAGTGATCAAACCCACAACTTTGGTGTATCAGGACATTTCTCTAACCAACTGAGCAACCCAGCCATGGCTCATTTTCTAATTTCAGTACAGTATGATTAGATAATATGGAATGTTTTATTCTTTGGAACTAATCGAGATGTTTTATAACTAGTAGAAGGTCAGTTTTTATGACTATTCCATTTTGCTGAAGGACTGGATATACTCTGGTATATATAAGTACATTTATATATATATATACACATACTTGTATTTCAACTTAAAAATTACATTATTCAAATCATGTGCCTAACTTATATGCTTGTTCTATTAATAGACTTTAAATATTACAACTACCTAAAAGGTATAGAGAACAAGTGAATAGTCATGTACCCGTCATTCAGCTTAAGAAAAAATGCATTATGGGGGGACTTCTGGCCAAGATGGAGGCATAGTTATATACACTTTCCTCGTCCCGCAACCAAAAGAAGGACAACAACAAATTTAGAAATAAAAAACAACCAGAACTGTCAGAAAGCTGAACTGTATGGAAGTCTGACAGCCAAGGAGTTAAAGAAGAAACAGTCATCCAGGAGAGGCGGAGGCAGGCAACAGAGGCAAAGAGGACACAGAGCAAGGAGGAGGCTGGTGGACCAAGTGGTCCCACATTTGCATGCAAATAAATCAGGAGGAACAACTGGGGAGTGGGACACGCCCCACAACCCAGGGTTCCAGTGCAGGAAAAGAAAGCCTCACAGCCTCTGACTGTAAAAACCTGTCGGGGTTATGGCAGCAGGAGAAACTCCCAGCCTCACAGGAGTGTTCATTGAAGAGACCCAAAGGGTCCTAGAATGTACACAAACCCTCCCACCGGGAATCAGCACCAGAAGGGCCTGGTTTGCTTGTGGGTAGTGGGGGAAGTGATTGAAAGCCAGTCAAGAGCCAAGCAAGTGGCATTGTTCCCTCTCTGACCCCTCCTCCACATGCAGTACCACAATCCAGCAACGTGGATTGCCCCCACCTGGTGAATACCTAAAGTTCTACCCCTTACGACGTAACAGGTGCAATGAAAAAAAGAAATATGGACCAAATGAAAGAACAGATTAAAACAAAAAAAAGAACTAATCAACGAAGAGATAGCCAACCTACCAGATCCACAGTTCAAAACACTGATAATCTGGATGCTCACGGAAATGGTTGAGTATGGTCGCAAAATGGAGGAAAAAGCAAAGGCGGTGCAAAGTGAAATAAAAAAAAAATATACAGGAAACCAACAGTGAAGGGAAGAAAACCGGGACTCAATTAAACTAGTTATAGCAGAAGGAAGGGATAAACATTCAACCGGAACAGAGTGAAGAAACAAGAATTCAAAAAAATGAGGAGAGGCTTATGAACCTCTGGGGCAACTTTAACCAATCCAACATCCAAATCGTGGAAGTGCCAGAAGGATAAGAAAAAGAACAAGAAATTGAAAACTTACTTGAAAAAATAATGGAGAACTTCCCCAGTCTGGCAAAAGAAATAGACTGCCAGGAAATCCGGGAAGCTCAGAGTCCCAAAGAAGTTGGATCCAAGAAAGCACACACCAAGGCACATCATAATTAAGTTACCCAAGAGTAACGATAAGGAGAGAATCTTTAAAGCAGCAAGAGAAAAGGAGGCAGTTACCTACAAAAGAGTTCCCATAAGAGTATCAGCTGATTTCTCAAAAGAAACCTTGCAGGCAAGAAAGGGCTGGCAAGAATTATTAACAGTCATGAACAGCAAAGACCTACCTCCAAGGCTACTCTATCCAGCCAAGCCATCATTTATAATGGAAGGGCAGAAAAAGTGCTTCCCAGATAAGGTCAAGTTAAAGTAGTTCATCATCACCAAGACCTTATTATATGAAATGTTAAACAGACTTATCTAAGAAAAAGAAAATCAGAAACTGTGAACAGTAAAATGACAACAAACTCACAGTGCTCAACAACTGAACATAAAAACAAACTAAACAAACAACTAGAACAGGAACAGAATCACAGAAATGGAGATCACATGGAGGGTTATCATTGTGTAGGGGGCGAAGAGAGGAAAGGTACAGGGAATAAGAAGCATAAATGGTAGGTACAAAATAGACGAGGGAGGTTAAGAACAGTATAGGAAATGGAGAAGCCAAAGAATTTGTATGTACAACCCATGGACATGAACTAAGGTGGGGATTGCTGGTGGGAGGGGGATGCAGGGCGGAGGGGAATAAAGGAGAGGAGGAAAATGGGTCAACTGTAATAGCATAATCAATAAAATACACTTAAAAAGGAATAATGCATTATGGACCCTGGCTGGCATGGCTCAGTGGATTGACTCACTGGCCTGCAAACCAAAGGGTACCCAGTTGATTCCCAGTCAGGGCACATGCCTGGATTGTGGCCCAGGTCCCCTTAGGGGGCGCACAAGTGGCATCCACACATAGATGTTTCTCTCCCTCTCTTTCTCCCTTCCTTCCCTTCTGTCTAAAAATAAATTTTTTCTTTAAACCCATTATGGATACAATGAAGCTCTCTATTATCTTTTTTATTTCTTTCCCTTTATTTTCCCACTTAGGTATTTACTATCATGAATTTGACATCTTATTTCCATGAATTTAAAACAGCAGAACAAGGCTGTCAATTGATTATATGAGTGATAGCCTCCAAACTAGAATTTACCAGTGTGTACCAGAGTTGTGTACCAGAGTTGCCCACAAATGCAGTCATTGTCTTACATCAAAAAAGTTTCTAGCCCCTGGAAGATAGTTGGGAATTTGTCAAAGAATTATTTGTGTCATCTCTTACTGCCTAACTTAAGTTAGAGCTTAACTCTTAATTGATAACTAAGTGTCTAAAAATATGTAAATATATGAGGAATGCTATGACAGGTGTCTTGTTTTTCAAGAATCTAGCTGTACTAGTTAGATAATTGATGACTGGTAATAAATGAGCACGTCACATGGCTCTTTGACCACTTATAGCAAGCTGTTCTATCTATGAGAGAAAATACAAATCTAACAGACTCACTAATTTACATTTCTGAATTGCCTTTGATAGTTGGAGAAATAGTTATATAAAAAAACAAACACTCACCCTGTCAGGTGGCTTACTTGGTTAGAGTGTCGTCCCATGCACCAAAAGATTGTAGGTTTGATTCCTGGCCAGGGCACATACCTAGGTTACAGGTTTGATCCTTGTTTGGGGCACATACTGGAGGCAACTGATAGATGTTTCTCTACTCCTCTCCCCTCTTCCCTCCCTCCCTCCCCCCCCCCCGCCCCCAAGTCAATGAAAAGCTTATCCTCAAGTGAGGATTTCTTTGTTTTTGTTTTTGGAAGGCAAATTCTTCCAAAAGTTCAGGTGGCTCTTCCAAAATCCTTAGAACTATAGACAGTTACATTGTTGGTATAGGTGGCAACACATTAATTAATGTCTAAGTTAGACTTCAGAATTTTGATTCCTGGGACCTTAATATGATTGATCATTTGACTGTCTCGTTTTCACAGTTACATATAATAATGATTTTGCCTCATGATAATGTGTTGTTGTTTGTTTGTTTCCACTTACAGTGTTACTTTCCTGTGGCCTTGTAAATGATTGAATGATGATGGAAATGGATCCAAAATAATAACTGACTTCTCTACCGAAGCAGCAGATTTCTTCATATCACCTTCCAGTAGTTGAATTTCAGTCTTCAAAAAGAGGCAAAACAAGTGAAATAGAGGAAACGGAAAAGAAGACAACTTTGGAACTGTCTTTCTCCTTGACTACTCCTTAACCCCCCTGTATTTCTCCTTATTTTAATTTTGCTGTGAATTTATAAATAGCGAAGACCAAAGAAATAGAAGATACATTTGGGAGCTTTATACCAAGACATTTGCCTTGAAAGCTGCTATTCTTTGGAGGGGAAAGTATATCAAGTTCCTGTCTGATTTTTGTTTTGTTTTGTTTTGTTAAACAAGATTTCTTATATCCTTAGATTCTGAAGGATAAAACAAATATAAATACATATCTGCACATCATTTTTAGCAGCTGTGTAAGAATAATGAGAATTGGAAATTAAAGGCTTTGTCATGTGGATGTTTTGCCACTGGAGTTGAGTGCTCAGAAGATCTTTTATAGATAGCTCTTTAATATATTTTTGATCCGTCACTTAGATGACATTCTTTGCCCATGTGAATCCACCTGTCTTTTTATTTATGACCTTATGAACAGTGTTTGTACTCACTCTGCAGATGTCCATGTATTATCTATTTAAGCAACATCATAGTGCCATCACTCAAGGAAGTTGAATGAGGTGAACATAGATATAGGTCTTTTCCCCTTCCCCCCCTTTTTTTAAATGTAACAAATACTTTTTATCTTCCCCTTCCCCCTTCCCCTTCCCCTTCCCCCTTGTGGAAACGTGTCAGGAACTAGGTAGTTTAAGATGAGCAATTGAGGGGACTGAGAAAGTGATCCACACAGAGCCTGGCTTCTTTGTGCTTCATCATAAGGTGTGCTGCTGGCCAGCCTTATTAAGCACCCTTCTAACAAAAGAACCTCGTGGGAAATCCAGCTGGCAGACTCAAGGAGTTCAGGAAACAGGACCACAGAGGTTACACTCTGGGGTAAATATTCTCCTATGTCTAACTGGGGAAGAAGGCTGTATGTGTATATATATCATGGAAAATATACTGCTTTCTGATGTGTTTAATTTTGAAAAATATCAGTGGGGTGGTTTGGAGACATTAATGAATCTCTCAGGAAAACTGATGATAGTGTTTGAGGAAAACTACTGTGGACTAAATAGAACTCTTGAAAGGTTTTATCTTTAGAAAGATCTTTCTCTACTGCTTTTGCCAGAAGTTACTCAAAGCAGATTTATCTCTTCATAAGTATCTGTAATTTTGAGTAGGTATTTATTCTTAAGGTTCTTCTGATATAACTTAAAGTTCTTCTGATACAAAAGAATTCATAAGCTTTTATATAACCTTTCAGATCTGTCATTTTTCTTTTTATGCACTTTTCATGTTGTATAGTCACAGACCATTGCTTTGTTTAGAACTTCTGAAGTGTGCAGTCTGATCAGTAGTCTAGAGAGGCTCAGAGGGCAAGCCATTCTGTAAAGTGGAGGATCTTAAGTAATGACAACTCCTTCACACATTAGTATCAAGATCTTGCAAGCATAAGTGATTGGAGTTTTCTCCTCTTCAGTTCCTGGCCATGAGGTTGGATGCCTCACCTTGCTGAAAAGAGACACTGGACCTAAATGGCGCAGCATGACTTTGTTCCTGCTTGGCTAAATTTCTCAACACCACAGGCAGTTAAGGTACTGTTTTATTTCTACTGTAACTATTAAAATACCAGTTTTTTACGTCCCTGAGTTGTCTATGGCCTCTCTCTTATATGTGTTTTTGTTTTTGTACATTTAGCTTTGCCTGAGGATTTCAAATAGGTTTTCATAGACTAATTACTTTTATTTTATTTTTTTTAATTGTTCAAATACATTTGTCTCCATTTTCCCACCACCACTTTCCCCCCACCCCACCCACCCCCACCTCCCACCCTCAGTCCTTCCCCGCTTTGTCTTTGTCCATGAATCCTTTATACATGTTCCTTGACTTGACCCTTCCCCTTTTTCCCATTACCCCCTTCCCTCTTTCCCTCTTGTTACTGTTGGTTTGCTTTTTCTTTCATTGTTGCTGGTTATATTTTCCTTGTTTGTTTTATAGCTTAGGTTCCATTTATAGATGAGATCATATGGTATTTGTCTTTCACCCCATGGCTTATTTCACTTATCAGAGTGCTCTCCAGTTCCATCCATGCTGTTGCTAAGGGTAATAGCTCGCTCACTCTTTCTGCTGCGTAGTACTCCATTGTATAAATGTACCAAAGTTTTTTGATTTATTGATGGGAACTTAGGTTGCTTCCAGCACTTGGCTATTAATTACTTTTGTTGTAATAGGATATAAATAATTAGGCAGTCCAAGTCAGTTACTGCCAAGTACCTTTTTTTGTTTACCATTCTATACTAAGCTTTTTTCATTATATGGTACACTTAAGACTTCCTGTATTAGTTGTAGCACACTTTGAAAGTAAAACATACCTACTAACATTACTGAGGGCAAAGGAGCAGAGGTAAAAGAAGATGGTTTTTGGCGAAATGGAGCTTTGGAATGAATACATATTTAGCTGTAGTAGCAGATGAGGAGATAGAAAAGGAGAGACAGGGATTGATTGCTACCTACTATATACGGATTCTAGAAATTCTCTTTTAGAGACAATAATTTACTTAATGATTTTAGGGGAAAATGTGTGTTGCATTAGGGATAACGACAAATGGAACAATTGGTTCTTAATAAAGTAGCCCCAAACACAGTTCACAGAAGAAACAGCCTAAATTATTGATACAGGACACCTTTGGGAAGCTAGCAAACTCAGAAATGCTTCTCATTTTGTGAACCAGTAGAAGAGGGACAACATTGATAGGTAGTCTCAAAAAAAAGGCCTTCCTTCCCTGTTTTAAAACATCTGGTCTATCTAGACTGTCATTCTAAACTTCAGCTTCAATTATCCCTGTGGTTTTTCTTAAGGTTTCGTGATTGACATGATCTGACCCAAGACTTTAGGGTAGTGGGCTTAAGGGATTAGGTATGGGATCCAGAAAAACATTTAAAAGTATGCAGATCTTACATCTGCAAAGAAGAATTCATATAGCACAATGGACTAAGTAAAAAAGAAAAAGGGAATATTTCAATATTTTTAATAAGGATGCCGTAAGCAAAGTTAAATGGTATTGGCTTAAGGGTAGACATATAAAATAATGGAATGGAATAGAGAATTCAAAAATAGTCCTATACATATAGTTAGTTGATTTTTGACTAAAGTGCCAAGATAATTCAGTGCAGAAGTGATAGTCATTTTAACAAATCCTTCTAGACTTGGGTGTATCTGTATGGGGACAGGGCGGGGAGAGTGCCTCAATCTTCATATCAAGCACAGAAATTAACTTGAGGGGAGATCATAAACCTAACTTAAAAAATTAACCATAAACATTTGTTTATTTATTTTTAGATTCTATTTATTCATTTCTAGAGAGAGGGGTAGAGGGAGAGAAACATTGATGTATGAGAGAAACATCGATATATAAAAGAAACTGACTGGTTGCTTCTTGCATGCCCCCAACTGGGAACCTGACCCACAAGCCAGGCATGTGCCTTGGCTGGGAATCGAACCAGCAGCCTTTCAGTTTGCAGGCCAGCGCTCAACCCACTGAGCCACACCAGACCATAAAACTTTTAGAAGGAGGAGAGCCCTGGCCGGGTGGCTTAGTAAATTGGAGCGTCGTTCTGTACATCTTAAGGTTGCAGGTTACATCACTGGTCAGGGCACATAACCTGAATTGTGGATGCAGCTCCATGTTGGGGCACGTACAGGAGGCATCTGATAGGTGTTTCTCTCTCTTCCCCCTCTCCCACCACCCTCCTTCCCCCTCTCTCTTTTTCTCTAAATCAGTAAAAAACCATATCCTTGGGTGAGGTTTAAAAAAGAACGAATAGGAGAAAATCTTTGTAACCCACTACAATGGCTAAAATAAGAAACACTGACAATACCAAGTATTGGTGAAATTATTCATAAAATAGATGTAAAAATGTCTGTGCCCCAACCTATAATTTTCTTATAAGCCTTTGTCAAATATATCTATCCTTTAAGTGGCTGTTTAGACTTTGGTTTCTGTCATTTGAGTTTAAAGCATGTCAGAGAGTAAAATTACGTATTTGGAATAGGAAGGGACATTAAGATTCATTTATAAAACTTTCATAAACTGCTTTCTTTTTTGTGTAACCTTAAAGACATATTCCTTGACCTCTTTCCTCATGTGTAAATGAGTCAAATGTGGAAGATGCCAAATTACAGTGTTGTTATTAAGTAATAAAATGTTTTTTTAAACTATAAAAACTTCGTGTAGTTGTTAATGGCCTACGAAAGTGGTAATTAAACCACTCTTTTCTCTCCAACTCTGAAGTAATATACAGAAGTAATAAGCTGTTTAAAACTGTTCTCAGGAAAAGATTTTCCTTTCCTATCGCAAGATTAGTATTTTCAAAGAAAACTTACCATTAAAATTTTTTTTTTCTTTTTGATTCTAGAGAGAGGGCAAGGTAGGGAGAAAATCATCAGTGTGAGAGAGAAACGTCAATCAGTTGCCTCCTTCACATGCCCCAACTGGGGTCCTTTCCATTTTGGGGACGATGTCCAAACAAGTGAGCCACACCTGCCAGAACAGATTAATATTTTTAAGTGTAAAGTTTTGGGGCTTATTCTTTCTGGCAGGTTTTTTTTGGTAAATAATTGAAGTAGCTTCCTTGTCTTCCATTCTGGGATATTGTAAATGAGTTAATGATTGAATATGTAGCCTAGGACTTCTCTCACTCAGAGGCCTGTGGTACCCTTATCATGGCCCATATGCTCATAATGGTGTTTTCTACTACCCTTATAGTTTTCTAAAAGCCTGCTCTAAAACCTAGGATACTGAAAGACATCTGTTTATCTATTTGCTTCTCTCTACTTTATCATCTTAGTCACCTACAGCCACCTTTGAAAAACAGGGAGAGCACCTATCCCGAGGAGATGGTAGATTTGGAGTAAGCCGTCGTCGACATAATTCCTCTGATGGCTTTTTTAATAATGGACCTCTACGAACTACAGGAGGTGAGCCATGCCCAATTTCTATCATTACATTTACACTACTCATTTAGGGCAAGCCCAGCATGGGGGTGCATGTCCATAATCTTGAAATAATGTTCTTTTGTAAGCATAGTTGTCAGCAGTTGACTTTCTAAGTCTAATATTGTTATGTTCTCATGAGTAATTTATTCATTGGAAGAACTCATATAGAAATTATATTAAAAGAAGAAGATGTATTTTTTTATTTCTTTTCTATGGGCTTAATCTTTTACTTAAAAGGTCCCCTGAAGGGCTTTTGGTAATACCATAAATAAGATCAGGAAGCATTTGGCCCACTTATTTCTGAATTTCCAGGAAGCAAACAATTTAATGTTTTACTTTTCTTTGCTATTCTAGATTCCTGGAACCAGCCCTCCCTGTTTCGCCATGATTCTGTGGACTCTGGGGTATCTAAGGGAGCCTATACTGGAATCACAGGGAGCCTCTCTGGTTGGCATGGCTCTTCCCGAGGCCATGATGGCATGAGCCAGCGTAGTGGGGGTGGCACAGGGAACCATCGCCACTGGAATGGCAGCTTTCACTCCCGGAAAGGCTGTGCCTTTCAGGAAAAGCCACCTACAGAGATTAGGGAAGAAAAGAAAGAGGACAAGGTGGAAAAGTTGCAGTTTGAAGAGGAAGACTTTGTAAGTATGATGGTTTGTTGTATAGGTAAAATCTAACAAATGATACCTTAAATAGTTAAATTTAAACAAGACACTGTTAGCAATGAGAACATTTCAGAAATTACTAAAAACAGAGTCCTTAGTTTAGATTTTTATTGTTTTTAGAAAGAAGCAGTTGATTAGCATGAAGGTGGTGCCAAAAGCCTTGTGTAACTTTTAGCAAATCTTTGTTTTCATATTTATACCTTTAGAACCTAAAAAAAATCCTTAATTTCTCTTAAGTTTTATAAGGTTCAATATTCAAATACATAATTATGTAAAAAATAAAATCTTGCATATTAAATTTTCTTTCTCCAACTATCATTAGAAGTTTTTTCTCTTAAATTTACCCTCTTATGTAAAATAGTAGTGATAACTTATAAACATGCAATTGGAAGTACTCTAGCTGTTGCCTATATATTCAGTAAAACTTAAATGCTATTGTTTGTTTGAATTACATACTCTTTGGGCTCTAAATCAAAAGTAGAGTTTTGATTTAAGTGCGCCTTTAAAAAGTTTATAAATTAAATATATCCATATTATCACTTTAACATATATTAGATTTTTCTTTGAGAGACAGTGACAGCTAAACAATGATTTGTTGTCCCGCTTATTTATGCATTTGTTAATTCTTTGTGCCCTGCCTGGGGATTGAACCCACAACCTTGGTGGATTAGGATGATGCTCTAACCAACTGAGCTACCTGGCCAGGGCTGTAAGAGATATTTTAAATAATTAAGATAATTTATATTACTTTTTTATACTAGGTCTTCAAAATACTTTGTGTATTCTATACTTGTAGCATGTATCTGTAGTCTGTACATTGTCCTAATGCTCAAAAATCACATTTGGATAATGGCTGCCATAATGGACACTGCAGCTCTAGTTATTTCTTTTTTCTTAATTTTTTAAAAAGATATGTTTATTGATTTTTAGAGAGAAACATTGGTGTGAGAGAGAAACATTGATTGGCTGCCTCCCATTTGTGCCCCAACTGGGAATTAACCCCCAGTCTTTCAGTGTATGGGATAGCACTCTAGCCAACTAAGCCACAGTGGCCAGGGCAGCTCTAGTTATTTTTAAGTAGCATATCAAATTAGCTGGTTATATCTATGAGAGCCATTGTATTAATAAAATACAGAAGGGTCAAATTTCAGCATCTGCCCATCTTCTTCTAATTCTAGCAAATGTCCTGGGGGTTCCTGATTTAAATGTCATTTATTAATGTGAACTCCTACCCCTAAGCACATATCCTTCAAAACTTTATTCTTGGAAAGGTCTGTACTACCCTGACATATTGAATATTTCTCCAGAATGTCCTAGATGTCCAGTAGTCCAGAAATTGATATGACATAAAATTGTAACTAATTATTCACTAAATTCGTAAGCAAATCTAGGAAAGACCAGTGGAAATGATGAAATGAAATTTCTGTTGTTTATCACATTTGGGGACTTGGTGTAATCTTCATCAAACCATCAATCAAAATTGTATTATAAAAAGAGTTTCTTTTTGTACTTTTATTCCATATAATTAAATAAACCCACTGTAATTATTATTTATATCTGACAGGAATATTTATCTAAAGTACATCTTATGCTATGACCACAACTAGTTGAGCATGTAGAAAACACATTTATTTAGGTCTCAATAGTTTTAGTTTCTTACACACTTTGGTAAAAAAGAGATTGTAAAAAAGTAGTGTGGAGTAAAGTGGGAGTTACTTAGAGTAACTTCTGAAGTAGGTACTATACTCATTTTTGGCATAGTTTGATAAGAACCTCTTTTATTCTGTGGCATTCTAAATGGGAGATGGATTGACAATGGAAAAAAAATGTTAAGGTAGTACTATCTTCACCTGCTAAGTGATTTAAAGGGAAATTTCCTGTCAAATCAAACCTCAGCAAGGTCAGTAAGGGCAAATTTATTTTGCACTTATGTTTTTATAAAATATTCGAAGTGTACATAAAATATGAAGAAAACAGTCAAGTTAGCACATCACCTAACTTTGTGAAATATTAACATTTTGCCAAATATACTCTAGACCATTGTTTTACAAAAGAGGTAAAATATTACATATATAGTTAAAGCTTTCTTAATCTGTTCTCACTTTCCTCTAGAGGTAATCACCATCTTGATCTTCAGTGTTTTATCTTCATGCCTGTTTTGATAAACTTTTACTATATGTATATCTGTAAACATTCTATAATATTTTTGCATGATTTTTATCTTTATATGAAGGATATTATACTGTGGTTCTCTTTCATTTGCTTAAAATTGTTTTGAGATTTATATGTATTAATATGAATGGCTCTAAGATGACTGGTTTTCAGTCAGATGCAGTTGCTCCCAATCTTCCCTTGGGGCACATTTGGCAATATCGAGAAAAATTTTGGATGTCACAACCAGGAATAATGCTACTGGCAACTAGTGTATAGAGAACAGAAATGTTTCTTAATACTTACAGCTCATAGGACAGCCCCATAACAGAAGTAACCAGCCTAAAATGTCAGTAATACCAAGGTTAAGAAATCCTGCTCTTTTTCACTGCTATATAGTAAATATTCTATTGTGTGAATATAATAGATTTTTTTAACCATTTTCCAGTTGATTAACATTTAGGTTGTAAAAGATCTTGTTTTGGAGGATAAATCTAAAGGATTGGAACTGGGGAAGGAAGAATCAAAAATAAGATTTTTTTTTTACAGAGCAAGTTAAATAGTAATTAATTTGAAATGGAAAAACAGGAGGAGCAGAATTGGAAGGAAAAAATAACAAATCCTTAGTACCAAAGAAATGGGTGAGATCTGAAGATGTGTACCTGGAAATAGAGAATAATAGTTGAGGTTTGTGAATGCCTAGAACCACCCAATGAGAATAATACAGAGAGGAGGCCTAGAGCAGAACCTGTGGAATAGCAGTTAATGGGGAAATAACACATAACTGATTGAAAAAAGGATATATTAAGAAAGAGTAGTCAAAAATAACAAAAGGTCTTTTGGGACCTAACTGTGGAAAATTATTTTGCTTTAAAACAGTATTAGTTTTTAAAAGGTAGTTTAACATAATTAAGTCTTATAAGTTAAATAATTAATTTTCTCTGAGTTGATAGATAGTAATATCTACCTTGCAACATTGTAATAAGGGATAAAGATCACATATATTAAATGATTTAAGAAATGCTTAGTACAGGCAGGGCCCAGGCTGGTGTGGCTCAGTGGATTGAGCACCGGCCTGTGAACCAAAGGGTCGCAGGTTTGATTCCCAAGTCTTAGGGCACATGCCTGGATTGTGGGCCAGGTCCCCAGTAGGGGGCGCCTGAGAGGCAACCACACATTGATGTTTCTCTCACTCCTTTCCCTTTCCTTCTCTAAAGATAAAATCTTTAAAAAAAAGAAAAATGCTTTGTACAGGCCTTGACACATAGGTTTCTAAAAAACCCCTTTCTAATGACTTGGTTGTGAATGGTACACTCTTGAGAAAGAAGAGGCAGAGACTTTAATACTACGCTTGGAACCTAAGAAGAAAGAAATTTGTAGAATCTCAGAGGATGGCAGCAGTGTAGCCACAGCTTTTGAATTTCCCCAAATTCTTCAATAAAAGTAGAGCTCCCTTTAATATCAAGACTAATGTAAGAATATTTACTCTCACTACTTGTATTGGGTTGGCCAAAAAGTCCATTACATTTTTTCCATACAATCACTCTCGTAGTGCCTAGTTGTCTTTAACTTCGTTCAAAACAATTTTGTTACATTGTAGTGTGACAGCTGCCATATCAGCATGCATTTTTAAAAAATATATATATCATACCCTTTTTTAAATTTTATTTACTGATTTTAGAGAGAGGGAGGAAGTGGGGAGGAGACTTCAATTTGTTGTTCCACTTATTGATGCATTGATTGGTCGACTCTTTTGTGTCCCGACCGGAGAATCGAACCCACAACCTTCGCAGGTCAGGACAGTCCTCTAACCAACTGAGCTACCTAGCCAGGGCCTCAGCATGCATTTTAAAAGAAAAATTTATCAAAATTGGTGAATTTTTGTGCAGCCATTTGAGTAGTAAAGATGGAAGGAAATACACCACAATTTCAGCATATTTTGCTTTATTATTTCAAGAAAAGTAAAAAGGTAACTAAAATAGAAAAAAAAGATGTGTGTAGTGTATGGAGAAGGTGCTGTTACTGATTGAACGTGTCAAAAGTGGTTTGCACAGTTTCTTGGTACTATTGACATTTTGCCAAATGATTCTTTGCTGTGGGGCTGTCTTATGCATTGGAAGATGCTTAGCAACACTCCTGGCACTTACCCACTAGAAGCCAAAAGCAGGAAATAGCCAATGTAGTCAAAATACCCAACTCAATAAAGTTACTGGTGATGATAAAAAATACGTTTTTATTTTATGGAAAAGAACAAATGGACTTTTTGGCCACCCCAAGATTTAGCATTGTGTTGGAGATATTAGCAAATACAATAAAGCAAGAAAGATAAAATGCATCCAAATTAAAAGAAAGAAAGAAAACTTATAGATGACATGATTGTTTACATATAAAAAATCCTAAGGACTTGTCCTGGCTGGTGTGGCTCAGTGGATTGAGTGCCAGCCTGCAAACTGAAGGGTCACCAGATCAGTTCCTGGTCAGGGCACATGCCTGGATTATGGGCCAGGCCCCCAGTTTGGGGGTATGTGAGAGGCAACTAATCATTACGTCTCTCACACATTAGTGTTTCCCTCCCTCTCTTTTCCCCTCTTCCCCTCTCTCTAAATAAATAAAATCTTTTTAAGAAAATAAATAATAAAAATAGGTGAATAAAATCTTGAGAGAGAGAAGATGGAGAGATAGAGATACATCGGTGTACAAGAGATAGAGCAATTGGTTGTCTCTCACATGCCCCGGACTAAGAACCGAACTTGGCTTTGGGTTCTCAGGCTGGCACTCAGTCTACTGATCCACACCAGCCAGGGCACAACTCTGTAAAGAATTAA